AAGCAAGGTCTGAATGAGCTCTCTCCTGACATCTAGTGATGGACTGGGGGTAAAAGGTTTCAGGAACAGACCATATTTGCATAAACACATCTAGTCTGCCTAGGTGCACAGCATGCTGGAGATGCTTTGCCTAAGTGATCAATTTGGCTGGTGTTGGGTTACAAATCACTTACATATTGAGTGCCAGGATAATGAAATGTTGTTTTCCTTACTGTATGAGGAAATGGCATCATAACTGTACTTAGACTGCCCTGATTGAGCGTGTCATCCTAACCTGAACCTTGTGTGCTAAACAGGGAAGTAGGGATGTTAAATCTGAGTGGGTATGTGAGAGGCAGGCAGGCAGGCATGCATTCATACCTACCTACCTACCAGGTGGTGATGCCTAAGGAGTCCGCAACACCATTTGTCTCACTTGTTTTGTTTGGTGATCACTAATAACCAGGTGCTAAGGCTTAGATGTAGTGTTGTGGTAAAAGAGATTACACAGCTTGCACTAGTAGTGAGATTCCCCACTATATGCTTGAATCACTACTGAGAGCTGGGTTAAGTGGTGTAATGTCACAGAATGTAACGTCGCAGCAGAGAGGCTGCAAGACGGCAGCAGCACCAGCTACTGGTGGAACGGCAGATGGCAGTACAGTGGTCAACAGCAGCAGAACGAACAATGGCAGAGTGAACAGCAGCAACAGAGCCAGCTGCAGCAGTGGAGGGAGGTAAACTCACATGAATGCACCTCTGAACTCTGGGTCTTCACTGACCAAGGACAGCAACTGTGGGTGGGGTGCAGTGGAGGGGAGTGGTGTGTTAAAGGTTGGTTGTTGGACTTTCACACTGCAAGTTGAGAAACTGAGGCAAAGGGCACTCACTGCCCAATATAGTCTGGGGTGGGTGTCTGCTCATGGTCATATGCTCTCAAATCATGGTTATGGTATTTTCCCAAATTAATGCTGGGTTCCTTTTCCCTTTTTATTAAAAGTTTTCTTTGCTATACACAGACTCAATGCTTGTGAGAGGGGAAGTATTGCCTCTTAGAGGCACCCAGTGGTGGTGATTAATTTTCCAAGATTACTGGGTTGGATCTTCAGCCAGTTCTGTTTTGTACTGTTAAGAGCAACCCCTAGATATTTAATCTGGCCCTTGTTGCTGCTGAATCTGCCTGGCATACGAGTTACAATTGCAAGAGGAGGGGGCAGGAGTTATAGACATGTTTTTGGAACAGATCATATAATGTCTCCCCATGTGTCTCCCTATATGTTTTATCTGTGTGATCCATGTTTTATCTGTGTCTCACCCGTACCTCCCCACAGACCTCAATATGCCTCTCTTTACTGTCTCTAAGGTTCTCTTTACACTGCGCACCTTACAATGGTTCTCCCGGCGACAAAATAAAAACACCCTGAATGAGGGGTGGTAGCTTCATTGATGGGAGAGTGCCTCCCGCCGACGAACTGCTGTCCACACTGGTGCTTTTCATCATTAAAACTTTTGTTGTTCATGGGGGTGTTTTTTTTCACACCCCAGAGTGACAAAAGTTTTAACAACAAAAGTGCACTGTAGACAAAGCCAAACTCACCATGTTATGGCCCCGCTTTAAATCTCTTTCACAAATCTGATCAGTATGTGTTTTTAAAGCAATTGGTAGGAGTCCAATATAGAATCATAGAATCATAGAACATCAGGGTAGGAAGGGACCTCAGGATGTCATCTAGCCCAACCCCCTGCTCAAAGCAGGACCAATCCCCAACTAAATCATCCCAGCCGGAGCTTTGTCAAGCCTGACCTTAAAAACCTCTGAGGAAGAAGATTCCATCACCTCCCTAGGTAACGCATTCCAGTGCTTTACCAACCTCCTAGTGAAAAAGGTTTTCCTAATATCCAACCTAAACTTCCCCCACTGCAACTTGAGACCATTACTCCTCATTCTGTCATCTGCTACCACTGAGAACAGTCTAGATCCATCCTCTTTGGAACCCCCTTTCATGTAGTTGAAAGCAGCTATCTAATCCCCCCTCATTCTTCTCTTCCGCAGACTAAACAATCCCAGTTCCTTCAGCCTCTCCTCATAAGTCATGTGTTCCAGTCCCCTAATCATTTTTGTTGCCCTCTGCTGGATGTTTTCCAATTTTTCCACATCCTTCTTCTAGTGTGGGGCCCAAAACTGGACACAGTACTCCAGATGAGGCCTCACCAATGTCGAATAGAGGGGAACGATCACGTCCCCCAATCTTCTGGAAATATCCCTACTTATACAGCCCAAAATGCCATTGGCCTTCTTGGGAACAACGGCACACTGTTGACTCATATCCAGCTTCTCATCCACTGTAACCCCTAGGTCCTTTTTTGCAGAACTGCTGCCTAGCCATTCGGTCCCTAGTCTGTAGCAGTGCATGGGATTCTTCCGTCCCAAGTGCAGGATTCTGCACTTGTCCTTGTTGAACCTCATCAGATTTCTTTTGGCTCAATCCTCTAATTTGTCTAGGGCCCTCTGTATCCTATCCCTACCCTCCAGCCTCTCCTCCCAGTTTAGTGTCATCTGCAAACTTGCTGAGGGTGCAATCCACACCATCCTCCAGATCATTAATGAAGATATTGAACAAAACTGACATGAGGACCGACCCTTGGGGCACTCCACTTGATACCGGCTGCCAACTAGACATGGAGCCATTGATCACTCCCCGTTGAACCCGACAATCTAGCCAGCTTTCTATCCACCTTATTCATTCATTCTATTCATCCAATCCATACTTTTTTAAAATTGCTGGCAAGAATACTGTGGGAGACCATGTCAAAAGCTTTGCTAAAGTCAAGGAACAACACATCCACTGTTTTCCCCTCATCCACAGAGCCAGTTATTTTGTCATAGAAGGCAATTAGGTTAGTCAGGCATGACTTGCCCTTGGTGAATCCATGCTGACTGTTCCTGATCACTTTCCTCTCCTCTATGTGCTTCAAAATGGATTCCTTGAGGATTCCATGATTTTTCCAGGGACTGAGGTGAGGCTGACTGGCCTGTAGTTTCCAGGATCCTCCTTCTTCCCTTCTGCTTCTGAACCTTCACTACAGCTAACTCTCAGTGTTTCACTAGAGATGATTTTCTCTGATATCCAAACCCTACATGCTAAATCCTAGTCTTTTCATTCAAAATTAGTGTATGTCTACACGGGCAGAGTTACAGTGCCGCAGCTACAGTGCCACTCAGAGAGTGCTGAAGGGGAACCACTGTTGTGTGTTCACACTGTCAGCTGCCTGCACAATAGCATGTTCACACTTGAGGCGGTATTCAGAGCAGTGCACTCTGGGCAGCTATCCCACAGAACATACCTTTCTCTTCTGCCGCTAAGAGTTGTGGGAAGGCAGAGGGGGTCGTGGGGCATCCTGGGTCCTGTCCCAATGTCCCATGATGCATTGCTTCACATCCCAACAATCCCTGTGCTTCCATCTGCATTTGGCGCCATCTTTCAATGGTTTGTGTACTACTCACTCTGCCTCTTCAGTCTGCAGGAATGGATCCCAAACTGTTGACCAGTATGCTTCTTGCTCTGACTAACATGTCACAAGTGGCACTGGAGTTATTCCTTAACTACAAAGGCAAGAGAAGTGCAACATTGATCTCGCCACGCATACTAGCTATGACACGAGACTGTTTGTGGCATTCATGGAGGTGCTGACCACAGTGGAACACCACTTTTGGGCTTGGGAAACAAGCACTGCATGGTGGGATCACATTATTATGCACGTCTGGGATGATAAGTGGCTGCAGAACTTTTGGATAAGGAAAGCCACCTTCATGGGACTGTGTGCTGAGCTCATCCCAGCCCTGCAGTGCAAGGACACGAGAGTGAGAGCTGCCCTGCTGTTTGAGAGGCATGTGGCGTTTGCACTGTGGAAGCTGGGTACTGCAGACTGCTACTCCAGACTGCTAACCAGTTCGGAGTGGGAAGGTAGACCACTGGATGCCATTAATCGCATCCTGGTCCAAAAGACAGTGACTCTGGGCAACGTGCGTGACATTGTGAATGGCTTTGCACAAATCGGCTTCCCTAACTGTAGAGGGGCAATAGATGGCACGCATATTCCAATTCTGGCACCAGGCCACCTAGCCACTGAGTACATTAATTGCAAGGGGGTATTTCTCAATGGTTCTCCAGGCACTTGTGGATCACCGTGGGTGTTTCACAGACATTAGCACAGGCTGGTCCGAAAAGATGAATGACACACGCATCTTTCGGAACACTGGCCTGTTCCCGGACCAGAAGATCACCATAGGGGAAGTCAAAATGCCCATTGTGATCCTGGGAGACCCCTCCTACCCCTTAATGCTGTGGCTTATGAAGCCATACATGGGGCAACTTGACAGCAGCAAGGAGCAGTTCAACAACAGGCTGAGCAAGTGCAGAATGACTGTCGAGTGTGCTTTTGGCCATTTAGAAGCCCGCTGGCGCTGTCTCTAGGGGAAGCTGGACCTGGCCGATGACAATATTCCTATGCTTATAGCTGTGTACTGTACGCGCCATAATATTTGTGAAGGGAAGGGTGAAAGCTTCACTCAGGGCTGGACCACAGAGGCTCAGCGCCTGGAGGCTGAATTTGAACAGCTAGAGACAAGGGCTATTAGAGGGGCACAGTGTGGGGCCATAAGGATAAATGATGTCTTGAGGCAGCAATCTGAAGCTGAAAGCCACTAATATTTGTTGCTGTGCTCGGGAGTGCAGTGCTTGTAATGCTAGGAGGTGATTGTGATTGGTGCAGATAATGCAATATGAAGGCTTAAGATAATTGTCTGTTGCTTTGCAGGGCTCTGTTTGCTTTCAATTAATAGAATAAAGATTGTTTTCAAACCCAAACCAACACAACTTTTTTATTAAAAAACAACAACTGGAGGAGACAATCAAAGAAACAACACATCAGCACTGAGAAGGATGGGGGAAGGGAAGGTCCCGGGGGAGGTGGAGCCCCAGGACGGCTGAAGATCTGTGTATGTCCAGGGATCATATCCAACCCTCTTCTTTAGAGTACAGTGTAGCAGGCTAAACTGCAGAGGGATGGGTGTTAAGTGCAGTGGGTACTGGAAGTCTGTAGTGCTGGACTGTGATGGGGGAGGAGTGGAATGCCGTGGGTACAGACAGGAGCCAGGAGGTCAATAAGAGTGTGTTGGCGGTGTCTGTGGGGGTGCATGGGAAAGAGTTTTGTGACAGTGGCTGCAGGGGAGGGCAGGCATGGAGATCCTTGGTTTGCAGTGCTAGTATCACCTGGTGCATGTCCGCCTGGTGCTCCATAATGTTTAAGAGCCACTCCATGGCTTCATTCTGGCATGCTGCATTCTCATAGATTCATAGTATTAGGGTCAGAAGGGACCATTATGATCGTCTAGTCTGACCTCCTGCACAATGCAGGCCAGAGAATCTCACCCACCCACTCCTGCGATAAACCTCTCACCTATGTCTGAGCTACTGAAGTCCTCAAATCATGGTTTAAAGACTTCAAGGTGCAGAGAATCCTCCAGCAAGTGACCCGTGCCCCATGCTACAGAGGAAGGCGAAAAACCTCAGGGCCTCTTCCAATGTGCCCTGGAGGAAAATTCCTTCCCAACCCCAAATATGGCAATCAGCTGAACCCTGAGCATATGGGCAAGATTCACCAGCCAGATACCCAGGAAAGAATTCTCTGTAGTACCTCAGATCCCACCCCATCTGACATCCCATCACAGGCCATTGGGAATCTATGAATCTATAATGTTTAAGAGCCATTCCATGGCTTCATTCTGGCATGCTGCATTTTCCTTTCATTCCTGCATTCTCTTCTCGCTGTCCCGCCACTCCTTCAATTCCTGTTTTTCAGCCCCGGAGTGCATCATAACATCAGGCAGAAAATCCTCCTTAGTTCTTTGTGGCGGCTCTCTAATTCTGCACAGCCGTTCATCCAGCAATGACAAAGAGGGAGGCTGTGCTCCCAAGGTCGTTGCTGTAATTGACCAGGGTGTCTACACTGGCACCGCAGCACCGTACCCCCGGTGCAGAAAGCTGTACGCCTCTCGTCGTGGTGGTTTTTTTTCACAATGCTGCAACTGTGCAGTTTCTGCGCACTAAGTGGCTTGGCAGTGTGTCCACCTCGGGAGCTAAAGTGCAGAAAGCTGCTTTACTGTGCAGAAACTTGCCAGTGTAGACAGGGCCTTGGATTCTGTTTCAAACAAAACTGTGAACTTACGAGAGCTGTAGGGGAAAAAAGTGTGAAGTAGGTGACAAGGTTAATGACATTTGCATGCAGACTGACAGAACTAAAGCCTTAGCTGGAGCACTGATTGAGGATGATTAGTGAGTGTACTGCCATTTACAAGCTATGTAAAATTTTATAAAATTAACAAATATTAGGATCTGGTTATGTTTTGAATCTATAAGTAGTGGGAATTTGTTAGAAAAGCTTTCACCCTTTTTAATTTGTTTGGTTGATCTTGATGTTCATTTTTACTTCTAGGTACCAGGCTCTGTTCTTTCCATAGCACCCACAATGACTTTGGTTTTAGTTGTGGGGACTCAAACTTTCTGATAATAAGCCCCATATGGTTTACCCTGTTTAAAAAAAAAATAGGTGGGATATTCAAAAGCACTTATGCCCAAATTCAGAAAGATATTTAGGTGCCTAACTCCCATTGAAATCAGTGAGAGCTGGGCACTTATAATAGCTTTGAGGATCTGGGCCTAGGTGTTTTAATCTAATTCTGCTCCCATTGAAATCAATGGGAGTTTAACTCTAGACATCAGTGGAACTAGAATTGGGCCTATGTGGAGTGCTTTTGAAAATCCCACCCATATTGTTCAAATTTCTCCTTTTATTATTGTCACCATAACAGTCAATTTTTTGCAACCTCGCATATGATAAACTTTGAGTAATAAAAGGGACAGATGGTTGTCTGCAAAAGAAAAGATAATTTCCTTCTTTGGCAGGGTGACTGGCATAGTGGATGTGGGAAGCAGTAGACATGATATAAGTATGGCTTTTGATGCTGCCCACATGACATTCTCGTGAATGAAATTATTATAAGGTGGGTGCACCATTGATTGAAAGACCGTACTCAAAGAGTAGTTATCAATGATTTACTGTCAAACTGGGAGTATATTTTTAGGAGTGGGATCCCATAGAGGTCTGTTCTGGATCTGCTTCCAGTCAATATTTTTATTAATTATTAATTTATTATTATAAGTTATTTTATATTTCTAAATAATTTATTATTTTATTAATTATTAACTTTGATAATGGAGAGCACAGTATGCTTATACAATTCGTGGATGACTCCAAGGTAGGGGGGGTTGAAAGCATTTTGAAGTATAGGATTAGAATTCAAAATGACCTTGATAAATTTGAGAATTGGTCTGAAATTAACAAGATGAAGTTCAATAAAGAAACGTGCAAAATATTACACTTAGGAAGGAAAATCAAATGCACAACTACAAAATGGGGAATAAGTGGCTAGGTAAGAATACTGCAAAAAAGGATTCAGGGATTATAATGAATCACAAATTGAATATGAGTCAACAATGTGACAAAGTTGTAAAAAAATGACTAATATCATTCTGTTTATATTAACAGGAGTGTTTCATGTAAGACATGGAAGGTAATTGTCCCACTACTCAGCACTGGTGAGTCCTCAGTTCGAGTATTGTGTCCAATTCTGGGTGCCACATTTTAAGAAAGACATAGACAAACCGGAGATAGTCTAAAGGAGAGCAATAAAAATGATAAAAGGTTTAGATACCTTGACCTGTGAGGAAAGGTTAAAAAACCTGGGCATGTTTAATCTGGAGAAGAGAAGACCGGGAGTGGAAGGGGGACTTGATAAAAACCTTCTTCAGTCCACGTGCATTCATGATAGTTCTGAAGACTCTAAAATCTTACTTTAAATGTATAAGTCATCACAGGTTTAAGTTAAAAAACTGCAAGATTTTTATTAAAACCATACTGTTAAATTTCATTAATTATTCATGTGGGATCAGACTAGGACACTGACAATAAGAAAAAGCTGAAAATATCTATCTATATATATCTCCCTCTCTCTCTCTCTCTCTCTCTCTCTCCAATTAAAACAATCACGATTAATTGTGCAATTAAAAATAATTGTGATTAATTGCACTGCTAAACAGTAATAGAATACAATTTATTTAAATATTTTTCTATAGTTTCAAATATACTGATTTCAATTATAACAGAATACAAAGTGCACAGTGCACACTTTATTTTTGATTACAAGTATTTGCACTGTAAAAAACCCCCAAAGAAATAGTATTTTTCAATTAATCTAATACAAGTACTGTACTGCAATCTTTTTGTTGTGAAAGTGCAACTTACAAATGTGGAATTATGTACAAAAAATAACTGCATTCAAAAATAAAACAAATGTAAATCTTTAGCGCCTACAAGTCCACTTACTCCTATTTCTTGTTCAGCCAATCGCTCAGACAAACAAGTTTGTTTACATTTGCAGGAGATAGTGCTGCCTGTTTCATGTTCACAATGTCACTTGGAAGTGAGAACGGGTGTTCTCATGGCACTGCTGTAGCCAGCATCACAAGATATTTACATGCCTGATGCACTAATGATTCATATGTCCCTTCATGCTTCAACCACCATTCCAGAGGACATTCGTCCATGCTGATGATGGGTTCTTCTTGATAACAAACCAAAGCGGTGCAGACCGACGCATTTTCATTTTCATCATCTGAGTCAGATGCCACCAGCAGAAGGTTGATTTTCTGTTTTGGTGGTTCGGGTTCTGTAGTTTCCACATCAGAGTGTTTCTCTTTTAAGACTTCTGAAAGCATGCTCCATGCTCCATACCTCATCCCTCTCAGATTTCGGAAGGCACTTCAGATTCTTAAACCTTGGGTCGAGTGCTGTAGATATCTTTAGAAAGCTCACATTGGTACCTTCTTTGCGTTTTGTCAAATCTGCAGTGAAAGTGTTTTTAAAATGAACATGTGCTGAGTCATCATCCAAGATTGCTATAACATGAAATATATGGCAGAATGTGGGTAAAATAGAGCCGGAAACATACAATTCTCCCCCAAGGAGTTCAGTCACAAATTTAAATAACACATGATTTTATTAATGAGCATCATCAGCATGGAAACATGTCTTCTGCAATGATGGCGGAGGCATGAAGGGGTATAAGAATGTTTAGCATGTCTGGCACATATACCTTGCAATGCCAGCTACAAAGTCCCATACGAACGCCTGTTCTCACTTTCTGGTAACATTGTAAATAAGGAGTGGGCAGCATTATCTCCTGTAAATGTAAACAAACTTGTTTGTCTTAGCAAATGGCTGAACGAAAAGTAAGGCTGAGTGGACTTGTAGGCTCTAAAGTTTTGCATTGGTTTTGTTTTTGAGTGCAGTTATGTAACAAAAAAAATCTACATTTGTAAATTGCACTTTCACAATAAATAGGTTGCACTACTATACTTGTTTGAGGTGAATTGAAAAATACTGCTTCTTTTGTTTATTGTTTGTACAGTGCAAATATTCGTAATAAAAATAATAATATAAAGTGAACAGTGTACACTTTGAATTCTGTGTTGTAATTGAAATCAATATTTTTGAAAATGTAGAAAAACATCCAAAAATATTTAATACATTTCTATTGGCATTCTATTGTTTAACAGAGCAATTAAAACTGTGATTAATCATGATTAATTTTTTTAATTGAAATTAATGTTTTGAGCTAATCGCATGAGTTAACTGTGATTAATTGACAGCCCTAATATATATATATATATATATATATATAATTTAAACATTGAAATAATGCACTTTACTGTATTTAGTTAACAAATAGAACTTATCTAGAATGTAGAAACACAAACAAATATTTAATAGGGTGGGGGGAATATTGTTTGTGTGCTAGTCTTTAGGAAATTAATGGTATTGGAACTAAATAATTGGAAATGGGAATTTGTGAACATTTTTATTAAGCTTATATTAATTTGCAAAATGGGAAAAGAAAAATAAGAAAATCTTGTTCCCAGAAGTTACTATTTACCATACACAGAATAAATTGCATTTTTAATAAAAAAAAGAAAATGCTTTTTCTCTTTATGAAAGAGACAGTTATAGTTCCATTAAATCAATCAATTAAATCAGCAGTAATACACATCCACATGAAACATTTTTAGTAATGAGTAGTTAATCCAGTAAAATTATACTTTTGTAGAATGATAAAATTGTATTATTTTCAATTTATACAAATAATAATAGATAAGGCAGGAAAATATACCTACTTATCAGAAATTTGTTTGATATGTCATTGTTACTTCACCTTTTAGAGTCTGTTTTACATAAACTTCCTTGATCTTTGTGGGGAGAGACACATGATGAGCATGTTATAACTATAGGGACTTAATCCTGCACGGTGCCAAGCATTTTCGAGAGAAATGCAGAGAGCCAGTTAACCAGCACTGAATACTTAGGGAGAGACTGCGAACTCTTTATTCACACTAATTAATGTTATATTTCACAGCATACACCCAAAGAAGTTAGATAAAAACATGCATACTCTAGATGGAATGTTGCCATGTAAGACTACTTTATTTCTTAGATTTCAGAATAACACACAAGAACTCCAAACAGAGAGAGAGACAAAGCAGGCTGCTCTCTGAAACACAGAGGCACAACTCACCCCATTTTACTCTAGACTGTCTGCTGACTTGACTGTTACTACATCCAAGTGACATACTTCCCTATAGAGGCCCCTAGTTTGCAAGCAGGGCCAAGAAAACCCCCTGAACATTTCAAGTGGCAGCTTACAATTTCAATACACTTTTCAATACACCACAATGAACAGTTACTCACACATGTAGCTTTATTGAAACCAATACAACTAGTCATGGTTACAGTTTAGGAAAGCACTTCAGCACATGCTTAATTTGATGTCAATGGGACTTTCCTAAATCAAGGACTATGTGAGTAACTGCTCATCAGTATGAGCAAGTGGTTCATAATCTGGTCTTCACCATTTGTTGAGCACGTGTGTAAAGAAGCTTCCATGCACTATAAAGAGATGTGCACAGTACTTCTCAGTGAAAACAAACCTCTACATGCCAGCACTGAAATGAGGGAGAAAAATGGATATGACAGAGGGACACAGGCTAAGGCATAGGTACTTAAATGCAGCCCAGTGACCACTTTTAGGATTTTCAATTACCCCTATAGCCAGGCAGGAACAGAGGCTTTCTTTTATCATGCTTAAGAAAATGAAGAGCAGCCACTAAAAGAAATGCTTTCATAAGTTTCCATTCAAAACTCTCTGTTTATTTAAGGCAGCAGCTCAGTGCCACATGATCTATTCCAGACACAGAATTCCTGCTTGGCCTATCAAGCTGCTGCACCTGTTCCCTTCAGTTTACTTCACCCAAGTTGAGTGTGACATGAGTAGCAAAGCACTATGCTCAGGAGCCCTACAGACAGCTCAGCAATGTTCTCCTTTAGCCCCCATATGCACCCTTGTTCTAAGCAGTATTTGGGCAGAGTACTGTGCGTTTGCTGCCTGCCTCCCTTTCTTCCATCCTTTACTTGGCTACCTGTCATTGGTAAGTGAAGTGATTACTTTAGGTATATCATAGAATCATAGAATCATAGAATCATAGAATATAAGGGTTGGAAGGGACCCCAGAAGGTCATCTAGTCCAACCCCCTGCTCAAAGCAGGACCAATTCCCAGTTAAATCATCCCAGCCAGGGCTTTGTCAAGCCTGACCTTAAAAACCTCTAAGGAAGGAGATTCTACCACCTCCCTAGGTAACGCATTCCAGTGTTTCACCACCCTCATAGTGAAAAAGTTTTTCCTAATATCCAATCTAAACCTCCCCCACTGTAACTTGAGACCATTACTCCTCGTTCTGTCATCTGATACCATTGAGAACAGTCTAGAGCCATCCTCTTTGGAACCCCCTTTCAGGTAGTTGAAAGCAGCTATCAAATCCCCCCTCATTCTTCTCTTCTGCAGGCTAAACAATCCCAGCTCCCTCAGCCTCTCCTCATAACTCATATGTTCCAGACCCCTAATCATTTTTGTTGCCCTTCGCTGGACTCTCTCCAATTTATCCACATCCTTCTTGAAGTGTGGGGCCCAAAACTGGACACAGTACTCCAGATGAGGCCTCACCAATGACGAATAGAGGGGAACGATCACGTCCCTCGATCTGCTCGCTATGCCCCTACTTATACACTTATATACTTATAAGTATACTTATATACTTATACACTTATATACTTATACACTTATATACTTATACTTATAGTTTTATTGTTCACAATTAACAATGCTGCATAGGATATTGTTTCCATTACAGCTCTTTATTGTATAGAAGACTAACATCTCATTAATTTCAGATTTCTTTGGATATGGCACAGACTACCAGATAAATGTATAAGAGAGGCAAGGAGGGTTTGATAAGCTTGGATAGTACTTCCTTCAATATGCGTTCCTTTAAGTCCCTCACGTTGTTGAGTAAAGTTGTAATTTACCTATGCAATTACCTTTTGCTGTTTGCAGTGTTGTTGCAGCCATGTTGGGCCCAGGATATGAGACAGACAAGGAAGGTGAGATATCATTTATTGGACCAACTTCTCTTGGTGGAAGAGAAAGAGACAAGCTTTCGAGCTACACAGAGCTCTTCTTCAGGTCTGAGAAAGGTAATCAGAGTGTCACAACTAAATATAGGGTGGAACAGATTGTTAAGCATAGGAGTTAACACCATGTTGCAAGGGACCATTCAAAATGAAAAGAAAAGGAGTACTTGTGGAACCTTAGAGACTAACCAATTTATTTGAGGCTAAGCTTTCGTGAGCTACAGCTCACTTCATTGGATCTGAAAATGCTCACAAAAGCTTATGCTCAAATAAATTCGTTAGTCTCTAAGGTGGCACAAGTACTCCTTTTCTTTTTGCAAATACAGACTAACACGGCTGCTACTCTGAAACCATTCAAAATGAAGTGAGCCATTAACACTTCTGCAGTGCTAGGACAAAGTGGATTTTAGATTGTTATAAAGAGACGTAAAACCAGAGTCCCTACTGAGTCCATGATTTTTAAGCCATATCTACACGACCACTTATGTCGCTCAGGAATATGAAACCACTGCCCCCTAGCCCCAATCCCACGAAGGACAATAGTTTCGCCAGCATAAGAGTTAGCGTGCACAGCACTAGGTTGGTAGGAGAGCTTCTCCCTCTGACATAGCTACCGCAGCTCATCACAGGTGGTTTAATTATGTCTACAGGAAAGCTTTCTCCCATCAGCATAGAGTGGCTACACGGGAGATCTTACTGCAGTGCAGCTGCATCAGTAGAGCAGTGCTGCTGTAAGGTCTCTAGCGTAGACATAGCCTTTGTGTCTAGCTAGAAAAGTTATGAATATAAGCTCTCAGGCTTTGCCAGACTTATCCATTTCATCTTCACTCATTACAACTTTGCATTCGACAATAAACACTTTGTCCGAACCATAGTACCAGCCATGGGTACTAGGATGGCTCCCCAGTAAGCTAGTGTCTTCCTGCACCACCTTGAGGAAGAATTTCTGGAAAAATGCATCACAAAATCAGTGACATACCTGAGAAATATGGATGATATTTTCATCCTCTGGACAGATGACCTAAACTCCCTATAGTTTTCCACCCAGCATCAACAACCGTCATCAATCCATCCATCCAACTCTCTCTCAATCCCTTGTTATTTCAGTCAAAGGGCTTACAGCTTTAGCTGTAACCCCCAGTCATGCCAAATATTTTTCTTAAGTGGACTAGATTTTAACACTGAGCAAGATCCTTAGCCATGTTCTGGATGCTTTGTGACACTCTGATGGCACGAAGCAGCCTAGAGCCAGTTTAACTGTCACTTGAGGATTCCCTCTGTATTGTGTAATCCTCAGGTAGTCCAAAGCCTCATAGTGACTCCTGTTTCACTTTCTTTCTCAGATGCCAGCACAGGAAGCATGGCCAGGGCTGGGCATCCCAGTGATCCCAGGGCACCAGAACAACCTTTTGGGTGCCTGGGCATAAACTGGAGAATGCCCTAGCTTGTGTCATGGGTACAGATTGCCACAAACTGGAGGATCTGGTCCCATATCTCCAAAGGGTCAAAAGCATCACTGTATACCACTGATGTCTGCTTTTTGTTTTTTATTTGTTCCAGAAAATTTATAATAAAAAAAAGATATTTTAATCATTTTTAAAATAAGTTGATTCTTAATACATAAAATTAGAAATGAGAATTAACTTAAATTTAAAAAACAAATTTCAAAACTATATTTAATTATAGTGCAACAATTCTGTTGCTTTTGTTATATATATTTTTGAAGGTATACTTTTAAAATTAACTGGCAATAAAACCTTCTCATTAAGCCCTAAGAATCTTTCCCCCATTCCTTGTCTAACTGAGCCTAAGTTTATTCAAAGGGCTGATCTACACTGAGAAGTTACGTTGACCCAGTTTCATCATTCAGGGGCATGAAAAATCGACACCCTTGATTGACATAGTTAAGCCAAACCTCAACCCCGGTGTAGACAGCGCTAGGTCAATGGAAGAATTCTTCAGTTGACCTAGCTGCCATTTCTCAGGAAGGTGGATTACCTACAGTGATGGTAGAACCCCTCCTGATAGCGTAGTGAGTGTCTAAACTGAAGCACTACAGTAGGTATGTAGGTATGCTAAGTCACCTAACAATGTGGTATGTAAGTTAGTTGACCTTCAAGGCATTCTGCAAAGCCTGTTTCCTCAGGATTCTTTGGGGAGGCTTTGATTTTTCTCAGTGGGGTATAATTTTTAAATGCTGTCAGGATGGGGATTTTTGTGTCTGTTTGGGTTTGTTTTTTATGGGGAGGAGTGTTATATAACTGTTCCCACAAAGTTTTCATAGCAGCAAAAAGGGCCGGGTTCAGTTTTCCAGGGGTTCCTTAGACACAGGCTTGAGCTCCCATTCTGTGGTGATCATTGTGGATAAATAGCTGAACATGGAGCTCCTAATGTGATGCTGTGGCCAAAACAGCTAATACAATCCTGGAATGAATAAATGGGGGAATCTCTAGTTGGGGTAGAGAGATTATTTTACTTCTGTATTTGGCAATGGTATGATCACTGCTGGAATACTGTGTCCAGTTCTGGTGTCCACAATTCAAGAAGGATGTGGATAAGTTGGAGAAGGTCCAAACAGGAGCTACAAGAACGATTAGAAAGCATGCCTTATAGCGATAGACTCAAAGAACTCCATCTATTTAGCTTAATACAGAGAAGGTTAAGGCATGAGCTGATCACAGTCTGTAAGTATCTACATGGGGAACAAATATTTAATAATGGGCTCTCCAGTCTAGCAGAGAAAGGTATAACTTGATTCCATGTCTGGATGTAAAAGCTAGACAAATTCAGACTGGAAATAAGGCATACATTTTTGACAATGTGGGTAATTAACCAATCATTGGAACCATTTACCAAGTATCATGGTGCATTCTCCATCACTTTTAATTTTTAAATTAAGATTGGATGTTTTTTTTCTAAGAGATCTGCTGTAGGAATTATTTGGGGAAAGTTCTATGGCATGTGTTATACAAGAGGTTAGATCACAATGTGCTCTTCTGGCTTTGGAACTTATATAGGAGTCTGTGAAAAATGTAGGAATATATAGAAAATATATTCCTACGTTTTTCACAGATTCATATACAGACACACACACCATTCTGAGTTTAAAATAAATAGACCTTTACTGGGGGAGAGAAAAGAAGGACAACAAAATATATTTGGGAAAGCCAGCAATTAATATCTATGAGGAAAAACTTCTAGCCCATCCCCATGGTGCCCTAACAATAGTCCCAACCTCAGGTCTCCTTTTGCAGTTGTGAGTGGCTAAAGCATTCTAGCCACTTCCCTCTTCCTCTCTCATATCCAGGGTTGTAGAAGTCCAAGAATTCTGGCAGATCTCCAGCCCCTGAGCGAATTCTGCCTTGGTTGTTTCAGGGGCTCTGCCATCTGAAGCGATTTCAGCTTTGATTTCAGGGTAGGGAGGCCCCACACCAGAGTCCCTCAGGTAGGCTACAGCACTTTGCAGCTTCAGCCCAAACTACCACAGCACTGCCTCACCTTAGCTTTCCCTACTATCTTGAAGCATCCTGCTGCCTCAGGAGAGAAATCAGTAATATATAGATCAGATGCTTATCACCAGAAGGACACACCCAATAGAGATAACAACACTTATCTCTCATTCTCCCAAACCAACACCCAAAGAAACTGTTGGTAGAGAAGCCTTTCTTAGTGCATATTCACTTTGCAATGTTTGTTCAAAACCACTGGGATTACAGATCCCAAATCTTCCAAAACCAGTCAAACAAAAATGATGTCTAGCTATTTTACATGAGCCACCATTTTGTTACTATGGTATAACAGCTATACATGTGTACTATGATATTTTATGCTGCTGTGGAGTCACCCCTTCCCAGAGGAAAACTGGGGAAAGTGGATTTGAGATGGGAAAAAGTTACCCCAAATCATTGCAGTTAGGGGTTAGTCTTCCACCCCACCCCCCGCCCTTCCCACACACATGAACACACACACACACACAGAAAGAGTAGGGGGTTCTTCCCCGATAACCCACAGAATTTGAGGATCCACCAAATGTCCTGTGACACCCCATTGTGGCCAGGTGCCCCTGCCTCACTCTACTCAGGGATTCTCCTGCCACTGGGTACACCTAGAGCTATTCTTAATGGGGGGAGAGGGGGACTGCAATGCAGAAAGGACACTCTGCACTATGCAGCCCATCCATATGGGAAAGAGGATATCATCTTGTAGGGAACTCTCCAAGGATCTTGGAGGAGCAATTCTCCCTATAGAGAGAAAACACTTTAAAAACTCATTGCATAGTGAAGCATGATTTTTGGCAGATGAAAAATATGTTAATTCAGCAAGGGGGAATTTAACAAAGAAGGAAAGTGATGGTGATGGAGTACAGAGATAGGGTGAAATCCTGGTCACGCTGAAGTCAATGGGAGTTTTGCCTTTGACTGCAGGATTCCACCCATAGTATCTTGGAACATCAACAACAAAATATTCTTCTAACAAACTTCTTATTTCAGTACTTTATTTTACATTTGTAGGAATTTTTTTTTCTGTTTCTGCAGTGATCTGAACAAATCAAAGTAGATATTTCAAAGGTTTCACAGATCTATCACTCACCCTCCATAATGGCAAAAGGATCCTGGACTCTCCTCTGGTTTCCAAATTACTTTATTGTGTAATTTGAGAGGACTCTGAGAAATAGTCTCTACAATCAGAGGCAGCTGGTAGAAACAGGTGTTGTGGAAAATTCTAATCCTACTTTGATTAATCCTGTGTTATTTTGGCTGTTTTGGTTTTTTTACAACCACCCTCCAGTTATGCATGACAGGTATCCAAATAATCAAATGTATAGACTCGGTAGTAACAATCTGAGCTATTGTCAAGAGAAACATCAGGAACGATTGAAGCATGCAAGCCAAAATAATTTGCTTTTCATGGAGATAGACTTTCATAATGTCCTCCTCAATTCATGTATTTGCTGGAAAATATAGATTTGTCTCTAAGTATATTGCATATATTTTTATTATGTTACTTCCCAGATACCTCATGTTATGCTGCAAGTTCTCAAAGCAGCTTTCAGA